ATGAGTAAAATACAGAGAGAAAAATTCACTTCTAGGAAGTACCTCAAAACCTTGAATGCACCTTAGATACTATGTATTTACTCTGTTCATCATGCTGGATAATAGAAAAGCACAAGCCAGTTGTCTCATATGACCATCATGGTCTCCCCAACATGGTACAGTCCTTCCTATCTGTCTAGTGGCAACAGTGGAGATAGAAGGAAACTGAACAACAGTGTTACTGTGCTGAAGCCACTTTTAAACTTATCCTGCCACTATTTTATCCTGAGTTTGTAATTTCATGACATTTCAAGAAATATTTCAGCATCTATTCAACTATAAACCCTAAATACAACAAGGTTTACTAGTTCTCTTGGAACCTGTGGCAAACTTTATGTCAATGGCATGACTAAAAGACTCATTTGAAATGGCTAGGAATCTGTACAAAGTTTTCATAGTAATTGCTAATGTTGTTATTTATCTCTCCTTCCCCATACCTCCCCCCACTCTTCTTTCTTTCTTTCTCAATATTTTAAACTTAATTTATTACCAGAAATTATAGGGAACTTTAGCAAGCCCTCCAGGTGATTATTTTAATCTGGCAAATATGGAAAACACTAGCATAGTTTACTTTCTTAGATTGAGCTCTTTAAATGCAGAGCCAGAGAAAGGAACTCAGTTGCAAAAAAATTATTGAGGGAATTTTCTCATGAAAAACAGTAAGAGAATAAGGAAGCAGGGTAGGGAAGGAGGCTAATATTTGAGGCCCATGTCCCAGAAAGGGTAACTGGAGATTGTTTTCCTAGAAGAAAACTCAAGAGTTGTGCCATTACATACAAAGTAATTTTAATAAAATAGATTTTAAAAAGGCAAGATGACTAGGCAATAACACTTTTCTTCTTGTTTATAGACAAAAAAAATTGGATGGGCATTTCCCCACTTCTCAGCTTACTTTTTTTTTTTTTTTTGGCTGGGGCCAGGTTTGAATCCACTACCTCTGGTTTATAGGGCTAGTGCCCTACTCTTTTGAGCCACAGGTGCTGTCCCTCAACTTTCTATTTTGAAGTTAGTTGAACACACTGTAATAGAGTCCTTGCAATGTAGGACTGGTATTGCTGAGAAAATGTTGACTCCATGGTGATATAGAACACCCATGGTAAGATTAATTCTCAAATGTTTTCATAACATTTTAGTTTGCCAGCTAAAATGTTAAAACCTAAAGTTATTATCACTTGGCAAAAGTTAGAAAAGAAATTATCATATAGTTTAGAAATTCCCATCAAAGTCAGCATAGCATATTGGTTCAAATCTCTATCTTTGCATTTCCTAATTTGAGAATGGTCTTTAAAATTTGACTCCCATTGTGACCATCAAATTTTTTCAGGGCCATTCGATAAAGGTGAAAATAACTTCACATGAAAAAACTAAATTGAATAAGATTGAATATGAATAAAAATGACCTGATGTGTCTAGAATGAGAAAATAAATGACAATGATCCTAATTTCAGACATCTTTACTTCAGTCATTTAGAAGAATCAGCCAAATTGTGTTGTTATTTGTAGTTTTCATTGTGCCTTTGGCCATCTGCAGCATGCTTATTTTGGGTATTCTACATTTGGTATAAATGGTCAATTTAATTTAGTTTTCTGAGCTTCATAAACAAGGTAGAAGACAGCAAGAGATAAAAATGCTAACTGGAATTGAGTTCAAAATATGACCAAGATTCTTCCTTTCAATAGCAAATATAAAGGTTATAAGCACTTATTTCCTTAATAAATATTTTTAAATTCCTATTATGTATAACAATACACATACATCATTAGTAGTGAAAATTTGAATTTGTGTGCAAATCCTTAGTCTCAGTGAGATTAATTTCCTGATCTATCACATAAAGAGAAAAATACCTATCATCTCCAAATATATTTGGTGATTGAAACAAAACGACCTGTCTGGTATCATGTTCTAGGTGAGTGGTGAGTGGACTCTTATAAAAGTCAGAGGATTGGATGCCATCCCAGATGTTTACATATAGCACTAATCATAGAAGAGTTATGATGGCTCATGCCTCCATTTTCATCTCTAACAACAACAGAAGGACAAATAATAAGAGTAACTATTGGTGAAGTGCCTATGACTTGATAAACATTGAAATCCTGAAATGTTACCTTACAGATTAATTGTTTAATCCTGAAATCACTTTGAAAGTAGCTTGTTTTCTTTGTTTGATAGATAAGAAAATTAACCTATGAGATTCAGGATTTGAACCTAAAATTAAAAGGTAGAGGCAATGGCCTGAGAAACTAGATATATCTGAATACAAATGTACCATTGCACATCATAGGCATTTAAAAATGTTGATTGAGTCACAGACCACAAGGAATAAGGAGAACATTCATTGGGGCAATATGGCATGGGTGTTAGAGCCTGAGCAGGGTGATCAGGATAACCACATGAAGGGTGAGCCAGGCATGGGAAATCGGGATCTAGTCAGAGTCAATCAAAAATGATATCCAAAAAATGTTGTAGCAGTGCAGACTGCTCATCCTGGGACAAAGAATAATGATGACGTAATCAGAACACAGTTCAGGATTACATGTATAGTTCTATCTGTGGAAACAACAGCAAAAACATATTTTTGAATTATGCAAAAGTTAACGCCATTGTAGTTCTTGATATTTGGACGAGCTGACTCTTGTAGAAGCCTTTGAAATCCAAGGATCTCTAGGCTTGTGATTGTCTAGTCAGGTAGACAAGGCCATTAAATTGGATTTTCCGTCTGGGCAGCTTGTTGGCCTGTCTTGTAAGCAATTCCTAGTGTATTAAATTTCTTAAGAACATTGATAAAGATGTTGAAGACTCCATGTTCACTGGAGTTGACAAAACATAAAACTTTTATTTCCATACTGTTTTGTGTAGGCTTTAATTTTAACCATCCATTAATATAAATTTTGGCATGCTCAATATTTGTGATTACTTGTAATCAGTGTTTTCCTAAATTGGTGTTGACTTTGGATGGGTAATAGGTTTAACATTCCTTCCTCTTCTGTCAAATTAATAGCATCACACTGTGGTCACACTTGTCTGGCCATAAAGTATTTAAGTAAGGATAAAAGTCAAAATAACTAGTTTGCTTCCATTTATAATGCAAATTTCTAGTCCCCACCTCTGGAGAGGGTCAGAATTAATAGTGTGTAAAACTGGGCATCTGACACTTAAGAAAAAAAATGTTCTGAGGGTTACAAAGTAAGACTCTGCCTCTAAAATAGAAAAAAAAGAAAGAAAGAAAATGTTTCTGATGTATACTAAGGGCACGTAGACTAAGATCAGCAGCACAGTTTCTACTCATTGGATCCTGTCCTCCTATGTGGTTGCATTCCTATTCTATTCACCCTTGACAGAGTCATTTCTTTGCAAGCTCTTTTTTGTTGAGGCTGGGATCTCTTTTTTTTCTTTTCTTTTCTTACTTTCTTTCTTTCTTTCTTTTTTTTTTTTTTTTTTTTTTTGTAGTTTTTGGCCAGGCTGGGTTTGAACCCACCACCTCCAGCATATGGGGCTGGCGCCTTACTCTTTTGACCCCCAGGAGCCACCCTGAGGCTGGGATTTCTTATAATAATTATCTATAACTGTCTCACCTTCCAGAAACTTAAGGCTCAAGTAGATTATTCCTGTTTCAAGAAGCCTCTTCTCCATAGAGTAAAGCCATCATCTCATAAATCCACAGAAACTTCTCTAATAAAGAGGAATTAATGTATGCACAGTAGCTTCATTATTCTCTAGCTCCAGTAAGACTAGGAAGTCAAATAATATTTGTAAATTGTAGTTTATGTATATTTGCTCACATATATTACATACATTCATAAATCTTTTCTACAATAAATATCTACATTAATATGTCATTAATTTGGTGATGTAATTTCTACAGTGTAGAGATCTTTCACTTTCTCAGCTTTAATTGGTTAATTCATGCTTAAAGGAATATAATAACAAGTTTGTTGATGGATTCACTGATACCTCATTATCATCAAGGTATAACGTAAGAGTATTCAGATCTTAAACCCATAGATACTTCAAGATCTCCCAATCTTTATGGAGATCCACCTCATTCATAGGGTTATAATTGTGTAAACCCTTATTATATCTGTATACACAAGACATTTATTCATTCCCCACATACACATCTCCAGTAAACAAAATCATTCACTATAGTTCTTTAAATCTGAACTGTATCTTTCTTATTTTAACATTTTGGAAACTAGAAAAAATTCCTAAATTGATGATGTCTTGATATATGTAATCTACCTTGAATTGGATTTATGCTGATTAAAAATTAGCTAGTTTCTTTTTAAATCCAGAGATAATTTCAAATCATTTAAATTATTTTGAAGTTTGCTAGAATCATACTTTACATTTTTTATATTAGTTATTATATTTGGACACTTGGATGATATAGCAAGTCAAATATGAAACAATAGTCAATCGTCTAATCATAATGTTATATTAATAGTTAATAAATGCTAATTACTTTCCTGTAAACTAATTAATTTTGTGTGAATGATTAATTAATATAAAAAGTTTTACTTACAAAGCAAGTTTACTTACTACAAAAGAAGTACTCAGGATAGAAGACTTTTATTGAAAATGAATGTTTTGGCTAGGCACAGTGGCTTGCACCTGTAATCCCAGCCTTCTGGGATGCTGAGGCAGGTGGATTGCCTGAGCTCACAGGTTCGAGACCAGCCTGAGCTAGAGTGAGATCCTGTCTCTAAAAATAGCTGGGTGTGTGGCAGGCGCCTGTAGTCTCAGCTACTCCAGAAGCCGAGGCAAGTGAATCACTTCAGCCCAAGAGTTTAAGATTGCTGTGAACTATGATGCCACAGTACTCTACCTATGACGACAAAGTGAGACTCTGTCTCAAAAAAAAAAAAAAAAAAGAACAGAAAGAAAGAAAATTAGCGTTGTCCAGGGTTTTGAGTTAAGTTGACTATTATGCAGTTTTCTGGATGTTAGAGATTATCTAGGTAAATGTCTTTGTTTCAATATTATTTGAGGATGGAAATTAAGACAGCGTTAAAAGGATTTTTAAGCAGCAATTTTTTCACAGCCACTTTCACCTCTTTGTTCCTTAGACTGTAGATGATAGGATTCAGCATGGGAGTTAATCCAGCATATATCAAAGCCATAAATTTATCTATTTCCTGTGAATCTATAGCTGAGGGCTTCAGGTACATGGAGAGAGCTGTCCCATAGAACAAAACCACCACAGTCAGGTGTGCCGTGCATGTTGAAAAGGCTTTGCTTCGACCATCCACTGAGCTGATTCTCAAGATGTTGACAAGGATAAATGCATAAGAGATACAAATGAGTAGCATTGGCATGGGAAGAAGAAGTACACTTATCACCAGCATGATTAATTGCGCCATGGAGGTGTCCACACAAACCAATTTCAAGACAGCCAAGATTTCACAGGTGAAATGATTGATCTTGCTATTACCACAGAGAGACAGTGGCAGCACAGACATTGTTTCCACCAGGGCAGTGAGACAACCTGTCACCCAGGAACCCACTGCAATCTGCACACAGACCCTCCTGTTCATGATGATGGGGTATCTCAGTGGGTGGCAGATGGCCACATACCGGTCATATGCCATCAAGGAGAGGAGCACACACTCAGTGGAGCCCAAGGCAAGAGAGAAGTACATCTGAGTGGCACATCCTGAAAATGAGATGGTGTTTTTACTTGAAACAAAGTTTGCCAGCATTGGAGTGAGAGCAGAAGAAGTATACCAGATATCCAGAAAAGAGAGGTTGCTGAGGAAGAAATACATGGGGGTGTGCAGATGGAAATCCAGGATGGTGATGAAGATCAGAATAACATTTCCCAGCAAGGTGATCAGGTACATCAGCAGACACAGCACAAAAATGGTGGCCTCCAATTTGGGGTAGTGGGAAAATCCCAGGAAGAAAAAATCTGTCCAATTTCCCTGAAACATTTTATTATGTCTTGTTCATCTGTATACATGCATAGATCAATTACTACCACATTACATATAAAACAAAGGACCCCCCCTTCACATAACTGACAAAATATTCTTTATATGAACTTGTGGTCTATTCTCAAATGATTCTCTAGGTTAGTGATCATAGTAGATGTTAGAAGGAATTTGTCCTTACTTTTGCTGTAAGACCTTCTTTTGGCAATATTGACTAAATATCATAAGAGAATGAGTATAAAAAGCAATATGTATATTTTTCCAAGCCATATTTTAACTGATTTATGGCAATATCATAGATTTACCTCAAGACCATTGAAAATTATTTTCTTTCTCTGGTTCTTCTTATTAAGAAACTATTCTGCATTTCAAGTTCACAGTTTCGTCTATCCCTGCTACAGATACGTAAAAAATAATCAGGAAGTCTCAATGAATGAAAAAATATAGATTTCTACAGCTACAGATTAACAAAGACCTAGAACATTTAGACACAAGCCCAGTTTCTTCTCAAACCTAGGAAAATTGTGACAAATGTCCTCTTAATCATGGTAGATATTTCTTTCATATTGCTGTAGCTGTCCTAATGTCTGTGCTGCAAAGAACCAGACAATGGCACTCTACAATTTAAGTTATGTGTACCTTTTGAAAATTTTTTGACTCATACAAGCAAATTAGATTTAGAAATCTATTTTTACAGTGTTACAAATCCTGAAACTCCAGGGATGATGTCCCTTAGATCCAATTATAGTCCATAGCTTGTCTATTCTAATTGTAGTGTTATTCAAACAAGAAGTAAACATATTTCTGTTCTAACTATTGTTGGGAAGGAGTAGTTTTCTCTTAATCATGTTATAAAATCAGCCAGGCTGGTTAATTTAAACAAAGTGAAGAAGAATGAATCATACTGGCAGTTCCATAATATGTATGAGATCAAGTTGTACTTGAGATGGGGGAATGGGTGTTTATGTAACTCTTCTGTTGCTCATTACAGCTTGAAGGGAATACTACTGAGGGTAGATATAGTTCATGCAACATAAAGATTCATATGTTTTAAGAAACACTTTTTTTTTGGAATTTAACTTTACCATATAAAGGCATCATGACCTTCAGAAATCCACTGAAGGCTCTTTGTATTTGAGTGATGCTTTACAATCCCTATTCCTAACTTGCCTATTTCCCAAGTAAGAAATGAATGTAAACAGTATGTGGTTGTGGTGGTGGTAGGGAAACAAGCTGTCAAGTTCATCTCTATGCAATTGTGATTGGATAACTTGCTTCTTAGTAGCAGATTATAATCACAGCAATTACTGAATTAGGTATATACACATCACACCAAATACGTCTTCATTCATAGGGAAGGTTGTAAGTTTGAACAATTGCCAAGGTTTTGGCAGTGGTGGCTTCTGGAAATCTAAGGAAAAATGACAATTAGAAGTCTGAAAGAGTTAAGCAGAGATTTTTAGCAGAAACTCACTCCAAGGAGACAGAGTATTCAAGTCTTGCCAAAGAGAAAAATACTTCACTTGATTTCCACTGAAACCCAAGTCCTTTCTTTATAATAAGAATGAAATCATGTTGTACTTGATATAAAGACCATCAGAGTGCATTAGGAAGGCACTCTGGCCTCAGGAATAATGAATGAGGTTTTTTGTGAGATTTGCAGTTTCCTCACATAGCAAGGAGAACATTTAAGTTAAGAAGCATCTCATTTTATACTTTAACACATTACATATCTTACATAACATTTTTTAGAGAGCCATGAGCTATAAAGTCTGCACTTAATTAAGTATAATCAATTCTTTATTCGGGGACATTCTAAAAATGTTATTTAGTACATAAGGCCATTCCATCCTAGCAAATATCATTAGTACCCATTCAGATATTCAGTTCTTAGGAGGCCTATGCTCACTCGTCTCCCTTTGTTTCTCTGTTCCCTGGAAGTTTCTCCTACTAAAAGAAGTGGATCATAGGCCATTTACCTTAATGCCTTCATCTATGGATGAGAGGAAATTTTCTGCTGTAAAGATTTTACAATTTACATGAGGTGATTTCATATTAATTTGCGATAGAGTGAAAGAAATCAAGAGACCATATGGAAGTCCCAAGATCAACTACTATAATATACTAAAACTAAATTTAGCTGAAACACTAATAAAAGCAACATAAGGAAGTAAAATTACTAAAAACTATTAATCAAAAAACATAGAAATAAGACAAGGAATAAAAACAGAGGACAAATAGAACATTAATAATTATAAGCTTAAACTAAAACATATACACAATTGCATTAAACATAAATGAATTCCAATTGAAACCAATTTACAATCACTCACACTTTCACATGAAGAATAGATCACTACTATGGCCCAAGAAGAAAGAGAGGGAAGGGGGGGAGAGGAAGAGAGGGAGGTCAGATCAAGGGAAGGTGAATGGTGGGATCACACCAATGGTACATAATGCAAGGGTACATGTCAGATGTATTAGTATAGAGTATAAATGTCTTAACACAATAACTAAGTAAATGAGACAAGGTATATATGAATCAGTGTGCTGTAAGCATTCCTAATTCTGTAGGAAATCAACAAATTGTACCCCATAAATGCATTAATGTATACATGAAAAAAAAAGGTTGTCAGATTGAATTAAAAAAGGAAGATTCAATGTTGTTTTTAAACAAAGACTCAAATAGGTTGAAGATTAAAGGATGTAAAAAGATACAGCAATCAAAGACTTTTGAAAGAAAAGAAGCCATACTCTGTACAATAATTAAGGAGGTTTATTCTGAACCAAATTTGAGGACCATGACTAGCATCACACCCAAGAAGACTTGAACATGTGGACTTGAGGTGACAGGGTTGCAGTTTGGTTTTATACAGTTTGGGGAGACAGGGATTCAGGTGAGGTCATAAATCAGTAAGTTGAAAACATACATTGGTTTGGCCCCAAAAGGTGGGCCATCTGGAAGTGGGGGACCTTCCAGGTTATAGGTGAGTTTAAAGGTTCTTAGCTGACAATTGGCTGAAAGAGTTAGGCTCTGTCTAAAAGACCAGGATCAGTGAAAATGAATGCTTAAAATAAATGGTCTGTTAATTAAAGACAAAGCACCAGACAGACTCAGGTAGTTTGTTATGTATATTGAGGACCTGCAGGTAGGTCTTGCCTAGTTTTAGCCTGTTAGTGAGTCACAAAGGACATCTCCAAGAAGGGGAGGGGTCATAATGAGGCATGTCTGATCTCCTTTCTCATGGCTAGCAACTCAGTTTTAGGAAACCTCTTGGGCAAGAGGGGGTCCAGTTGGTCAGCTGCTTAGGGG